TTATTGAATTTGTTTCCTTGTTTATGTTTGCTTCCTCAGCTGGACTCAATTCCATGAAAAGAAAGATCACACCTTCCTTTCAGTGTATTTTCCTTAGCAGACCCTACATTTAATAAACACTCCATAAGAATATGAACAAACTATAGTAATCCTGATATTATAAATCACTAAAGGCTTATAGCATTACACTTCAAACTTCTAAAATTTTTGGAGAATTAAATTAGTACACGATAATTTGTATAATAATATGTTTGTTTCATTTAAAAGATTTGCAATTTAGGTTTTGTAAATAGTCCCAGAGTTTTTACAATAAGCAATAATTAACCTAAGATGAAAATGAGGAAGAGAATTGAAGGAATCATCAGAATTCATAAGTCAGTAAAGTAATAATGAGTATCAATGATGGAGCTATGTCTACAGCATGATACTTTTATCAGAAGTTACACAGAAAAAGGCAGCACTGTGACTAGATGTGCATTTTTAGGATTTGCAGTTACAGGGATAGCTGTCTTTGTCTTTTTGGGGTGGGGTGGAATGAAGAATGGAGGTTTTATGGGGTTCTACGCTACATGTCAAGAAAATAGCCCAGATGAAAGAGGGAATAAGAATTTATGCCTAGAAGTGTTATTTCCTTCCTAACTACGAGCAGAACCTTTACAATCTTGATTTTCATTTTTTTTCCTCCTCCAGCCTTCCTTTTCCTTGTTCTTCCTTCCTTATTGTTCTGTTTCCTTAGTCTCCACTTCTTCCCTTAGCATCCTCTGGTCTGTGCCAGCTTCTCAATTTTTTCTTGTCCTTCACGACCTTCAAATGTTTGAATAATACTTGCCAGATATTTTGCAGGATGTCTGTCAGTTTGGGTTTGTACATGATGTTTTCTAATGAAAATATTGAGGATACAAAATGTCGGGGAAGGATACCATGGCAGTGACATGTTCTTCTCATCACATTATTTTGGAGCGCACCGTATCTCCACGGCTTGTTACTGGATGTTTAACCTTGGTTACAGTCAAAGTGATGTCTGTCAGGCTGGTGTAGTGTAGAATTTTCTTTCTTTTTACCCTGTTAGATTTGTGTCACTTTTTTTTTTTAGTCAAGAGTTTAAGAGTTGTTTATTTAGGTTCCTTTTTAAAATTTTTGAATTATGATGTACAATGGTAAAGTACACAACTTTTGATACTGATATTTTGGAATCTAGAAGCTTCTTTGTGACCTAACTCATCTAGTTCCGTGAATATTTCAACTGTGCTTGAAAAAAATCTTGTTTTTCTCCATGACTTAATTTCCACATCTATGAAAAAAGAACCAAAGATACTCAACTCATTTGATTTATTTTGTTTTGAAAGTTGCAAAAACCAAAGATCAAATTGAAAGACAGAAAAATACTACACTTATTCTTTTTGATTCTTGCTTTTGCCAACTCACAGTGGAGATAACTGACATGAGTAAACATAATGGGAGAGGGAAAGAAAAAAAAGAAAGTATCTGTTCTTTCTGAAAATCAACATGTCACTACAGGGTAACAGGTGCTTAATCCTCTATGGGGGCACAACTCCAGCCCGCAGAGAGGGACTGGTCAGATTTGGGGGGGAGTAACCACCTGTGATAGTGATTCTGATCTATGTTTGGTTCCTTGAAGTTCCACTGGCCTTGAGTATTTATATAAGCAAAGCTGAATTTTTCTTTGGTGTGCTGCTGAGAAGTCTATGTGCAAGGTGGGGCGGTGGTCCTTCAACAGGCTGGCTGAAGAAGCCAGAGCATCTGACTGTTCAGAAGCCAGCAAGGATGCTCATTTATATTTGCCACAGGAAGAGGGATATCACGGTCAAGGGCTTCATTTTATGGCTTTAAATTAGATCCTTAGTGGCCAGCCCCTAGGGTTGTAGACCATAAGTTTCCCATGCCCTTCAACTGCAGCCCTAACTTTTCTTATTCGGTCTCTTGCCCTTTCTTACATTCTATGAATTGTCATAGGCCTTACAGCTGACTCCCCACCTCTTCCTGGGCATGGTCATCAATGTTTACCTTCTAGTTCCAACGTGATCGTAAGTTTTTCCAGATACCACAAATCACCAAGAAGTGATTTATACCATACATGGGCATTTATTGTGTTATTTGTTTCAACTTTTTTAGGTTTGAAAATTGTGAAAATGTATAGTTAGAAAGTATACTTTTGTTCTTATCCTTCAAAAAATCAGTAATGCTCTGCAACTGGCAGTCATACAAGAAGTGTATGTTTTATCTAGATGAAGACAGAGAATGTTGCCAGCATGTCCATTTCACCTAGATAAAAGGACAGCAATTGAAGAGAGGGTCTGTGGAACTCAAGAATATCAAAAGTTGGAGGAGGTAACAGGATTTGTCAGTAATATCTTGGTTGTCATTAGAGTAACATGCCCTTAACTAGATAGGGCTATGTAATGTACTAGAAAGCACATAAAATCAGAAGCATGTGGTTAGAATTCAGGTTTTGCTCTCTATGGGCTGTGAGATTTTCTCTTGAGACAAATGACTTCTCTGATTCCACAGTCTCTACATACAAAAAATGCAAAAAATAACAATATTTGCAGAATATATAAAAATATTGCCACTACTGTATTGTAAAGGGATAAACTGGATAGTAACAGCATACAATGGATACAGTTATCAGGTTTGAGGAGGGAGGTTTAGAACTGCTGTCCTCTGATTTGCATACACAGATATTTTCATCTTCCAGTAGGAGAGTTGATTGTGAAAATGTTTGGAAATGATATTTGAGAGTTCTTATTTGTTGTTGTTTTTGTTGTGGTCAACCAATTTTTAGCGGCAAATAACTTTCTATACATGTTTTCCAACTAATCTTAAAATGAATTGAGTAATTTTGTTGATCACCTCATTTTATAAAAGAATTTGAGGAAGAACATTGAGCTTGACATTCTCAGAGCTCTCTCTGGGTGATGCATTTTGTCTTGCTTTCAAATAAAAATTGTGGTGGACATAGTAGACTGGCTTTTAGTATCAGTCCCTCCCCGCTTTGGTAAGCTTTCAGTGTCTCAGAAGCTGGAACAGACACGCCCTAGACCTCCTTGCTGCTGATGTTCTGCGTGTGAAATTGTTCTCACAAAATGCTTGCAGCAGAGTAAGGTCTGCAGGTGCCGTCTCCATGCTGCTGGCAAATACACACAACCACGGGCTCTGGTTTTCTAGGAAGTTACCCTTCTATACTAAGCCTTTCTTCAGCCTTTCCAGTGATTTTGAGTATCTCCACTTCCCCATCACAAATCTTTCTGCCTAGAGCAGCTAGCTCATTGCTCCAAGATATCCTGAATGACTTGTAAATTCTTGTTGGCAAAACCCCTCCCGATGTAAAGAAATGACTTTGCATTGTAGTGATAGGAAACGTATGATAAGTAAATGAGTAAGTTAAAGTTTTAGTAAGATAGTGCTAGGTAAAAATAAAGGGGATGGGGGTTCAGAAGAAAATGAGAATGTTACCATTTTAAATACAATAGTGAAGCTTATCTATTACATCAATTGTATGAAAGGCCTTGGTGAAGTTGTGTTCAGGAGCGATCCATTTACCCTGAGTTGCTATTTTCCACCTCACAGCAGTTGCACTGTTTACCCATTACAAACATGGCAGAAAAAAAGCTTCAATCTGGCCTCCGGGAGCCCCCAATAAAGATGGCTACAGCACTTCCTGTTTTTGCCACCAACAAAGATGGCGGCCACACTTCCTGTTTAGGGCTTTCGCCTTCAACAAAGATGGTGCTTATGCTTCAGATTCCCTAACAGTCTGGATTCCGGTTGTAGTTTTTTTTTTTTAAAGATACGTGGTTGCAGACGTAAGTAACAGGAATCCATCTTTTCTCGAAAGCCCCGTGCTGTGGCTCCCTCGCCCCCCTAGTTTGCTGGAGTTTCTGAGCCGGCCCAGGGTTGGGGCGGCGGTGCTGGGGGCCCGTTCTCTTCTCGGTCCGTTATGAAGCTCATTCCGCGGGTCAAATCGCCCCGAAAATCTCTCCTTCTTCCTTTTTGTGGCATATCAGAGGTCGCAGCTGCCGAGACTGGGAATTTTTAAAAAGTTCCCGACGGGTGCTGGTATCCAAATACGGCCCGCTCCCCCGCTCCTGCCACCTCCGGTCTTTACTGAGGGCTGCGAGGAAGGATGAGGGATCAGGTGTCACCTGACCTGTGGGTGTCGCAGACCCATCTGTCACCCCTCCTGCCCGCCCTGTTACTTAACCTTGGTTAACACCATGCGGCGCCCCACCACTCACTAGAAAACTTTACATGCTGTGTGGCTACTGATCAGTGCTGTGGTGTGGATTTTTTTTTTTTTTTTTTAAGGAGAAAACCCCATTAAATGTCTCATGCATGTGTGACTACCACAGCCTTGTGATGGAGATTACAAATTCTTAACAGAGAAGGGATGATCTGTGACTGTATATAAGATTTATTGTAGATTGGACACAACCAATATTTTTCCTGAAAGTGATGAAGAGGCCTTTTCTTGTAGTAGAAAAGATATTTAGATACATTGGTACCTCTGCTTTCTGTCCTCCACCTCCTTATAGTCAGGTTCTGCTGTCGCCTGAGGTCGTAATAGCAGTTTGTGCAACCATGGTGGTAGGCCATCTCTGATGAAGGTAATGTTAAAATAAAATCATTTCTTCTGCATTAGGCTAAAATGAACTGCTGTTCTGTAATCCTCAGATTAAGATTGCTTTTTAAAGCAAGGTCTCTGACCACCTTTTTGGTCAAATTTTTGTTGAACGAGGAATTCAGCTAGGACCTGATGGTATGAAAAGAAGAGAGAAACACTGATTGATGTTCATTTTGTTTAGAAGCATTTGAAATTCACTTGGCTTGGCTTAACCATCATGTCTAAACACCTGCGGCCTGAAACTCTGCTGAGATTCAAAGATCTGCCTGACCTTGAGGCGCTCACAGGACAGTGACCCTATCTTCAGGAGTGCAGCAGCATTCCTGTCATCTGAGCTGTGATTTTTGTCTCTTTCCAGGGAGAAATGGAGGCCAGAGACAAACAAGTACTCCGCTCACTTCGCCTGGAGCTAGGTGCCGAAGTGCTGGTGGAGGGATTGGTTCTTCAGTACCTTTACCAGGAAGGAATCTTGACAGAAAACCATGTTCAAGAAATCAAAGCTCAAACCACAGGCCTCCGGAAAACAATGCTGCTGCTGGATATCCTGCCTTCCAGGGGTCCTAAAGCCTTTGATACCTTTCTAGATTCTCTACAAGAATTTCCCTGGGTACGAGAGAAGCTGGAGAAGGCAAGGGAAGAGACCATCACCGAGCTGCCTAAAGGTAGGCCTCAGAAAGCTCAACTAGCTTTAACATTGTTGGAACTGTGCCCTTTGGATTGAAAGTTGAGGTCTTAGGCTGGGCAGGCGTCAGCAGTTCATGGAAGAGGGTAAGGAGTGTGGACAGAAGGGACATGTGGTTGGAGGGACAGGATGAGGAGGTTGGGTTAGGAAATGCAGGCAAGGAAGGAAGAATAAACCATGACTGGGAGGTTGAAGGAGCTCCGAGTACATTCAGAAATGCTTCCAGGGAAACTTGGCAAGTCATTTCGAAGGCATGTTCTCATCAGAGAGCCAGGTCATATCTCAGCCCTTGGCATGCGGGGCCATTTGGAAAGTGTAGATGGGAAAGCAGGTTTTGGCTTACTGATAACTGATTTGTGGGGTGCCAGAGCTGCCAGCTGGAAAAGGTCGGATTCACGGAGGAGGAGACAGCCTCTAGGAAGACACGCCTTGCACCTGTCCCGGGCCTGGCCTACAAGGCTAAAGGGGATTATTTTGAAGACTGACTTAGTTTGTTTTGAAAGGGTATTGGTTTAGAGTGTTCTTTTTAGTTCGGTTTTGTTCAGACACCTGGACTATTTAATAGATTCTCATTTTGATTTGAAGGAGAATTGGAAGCTATGGAAAAGAGATAGTGCTGGCCTGGTCCTGTTTGCTTGGCTTGTGTCAGGAAGATGTGGTGTGGAACACTTGTCCTCTTCTAACAGTTATGGTGACTTCTGTTTTTTTGGAAAATATTGAAGTGCAGAGAACTGAACTAGCAAAAATTTTAAAAAGATAATAACTGAAGGTTGACTTGCAAAATTTTAACATTGAGATGTATCTAAAGAAATTAAAATGGGGTCATACTCCTATGAATGATGTACAACAGTACTATTTCTATCACCTGGTATAATCATATAATTAAGCTGTGTATGATCTGAATTGAACCCAGGTTCTTTGCACTAAGCTACATCTGTGGTCCTTTTTATTTATTTTGAGACAGAGTCTTATTAGGTTGCTGATTTGCCCAGCTTGGCTTGAACTTGGATTTCCCCCTAACCTCCAAGTGCTGGGATCTCAGGCGTGTGCTACCTTGCCACGTTTAAATAATTTTGATAGTGACAGGCTTTTTGTTTGCCTGTTTTGTTGTTCCCAAGCATATATTGTTGCCAGGAGGTCCTCAAAGTCAAATACTAGGAAAACGCCAATAATTTTTTAACATCTCCCCAGTTCTTTGTTACGTATTCTGCTTTCAGTGATGTGCTAGAAACGTCTTACATATGTGAGCATGGTTTTGTTTAGACATGTGGAGTGTTTAACTTTATAAAGATAATCCAAACTGAGTTAACAGAGTTTCTTAACAGAGTTAAGAAATCAGCATTCTTTGGAATTTCTGATGAAGTGATAGAACTACTTCAAGTCCTTCGTCTTTCGACTTTCTTGTTACTGTTTTTGGAATAGTTGGCTAAAGGCAAAACAAAAAAACACCAAAAAACAAGACAAAACAAAACAACCCATCAAAAAACAAGAACAGAACTAAATGCCATTAATAAGAGATGATTTTTGTCTCACAGACCTTATATTTTGAATGCTTTTTCAAGCCATATGTATTAAGTAATTGTAATTAATTCTTTTTCCATTAAGTCTCAATATCTGATCAGCTTGAGATAACCAATTCACTCTGAAAGAACCTGGTAAAATCCCAATGGAAAAAGCAAAAATATTTTTATTCCTATCTTGGCCCAATTACAACATTGGAACCGTGTGTGTATGGTTCAGGTTTTCTGAAATACTGAAAAGGTCCGATCCCTCAGGAGCACTAGATTCTTAGCTTGGATTACCATTGCAAAATTAAGCACTCTATATGCCTGAAGAAAACCAAACTAAATTATTGAAGAAGCTGCCATCACCTTATTGGAAGTAGAATATGTAACACAGATTTGGGGAGAGGTTAAAAAATGATTGGTGCTTTCCTGGTATTTAACTTAGTTGTTCCTGCGGCCAGCACATAATTGGGAGCAACAAAACAGTAAAACTAAAAGCCTGTCACTGTCACAAGACTTCATTTAATTATATGGTCATTTTGGATAGTGTAAACAGTACTGTTATGTATCACTCGTAGAAGTGTGACCTCACATTCAGGCCTTTATGTTCATTTAGAAAGTGGGAAAAAAATGAAAACTTTTTGCCAAGTGGCAAAAATTACAGAGAAGCTGAGGGAAATTTTTTTTTTAAAAAAACTTTTATTAATAATGTTTGCAATACATAATGAATGCATTCATTGTGGGAACCAGTACATATACTCATTATGCATTACAGATCTATACTAATAAAAAACCAGGGGGAATGAAGCTATATATAGTGGGGAAAATTAAGCATATCTGTTTAGAAAAATAAGGTTTTCCTCAGGATTTGTTAATTTCTGAAGAAGGGATCAGTGGAAAGATAGATTGGTTCTGGAACAAATTAAAAACTTTTGTTTTACTTTTTATTGAGTAACATTGTTATTGAAAAAAAATATTCTGAAGCAGGGTTTGGTTTACATATGTCTCTCTATAACTTCCATGGTGGCAATTACATAACTCAGCTTAGCTGTTCTTGTTAAATACTACTTTAATCTTACAGAACAGAAGTAAGGTGTGGAGAATAATGTAGTGGCCAACACCCGTGTCCTCATTACTCAGTTTAAAAAACATTGTATTGCTTTTGCAAGTCCTCTGACGCCCAGCCTTTGCTTACTGGTAAATTCTAAATCTGGGATTTATCATTTTTCTTTTCTTTACTCTGTAGTTTTCTATCTCATAAAAACCACTTTTGAAATCCACATATTAGGCTGAGGGTGTAGCTCATTGCTAGGGGCTCGCCTGCCGTGTGCAAGGCTCTGGATTCTGTCCCTAGAACTGAAAATTAAAAACAAAAACAATCCACATGTTATTGAATATCTAGTATACCGTAGTTTTGGGGAGCAAATGGTTTCTACTGGTAAATGTCTGCGTGTATAAAATATGTGTAGGAGGTAAGGAATGAAAGAAATGATATATTTAAAGGACTTGATAATTAATAGCCTTGTCTTGTTTCAGACCTTAACATATTTTTAAATGGTTAAAGTAATTAATTTCATGGCAGTATTTTAATTCTAAAATTGGGATCTAACGAGTCAGAAATCTAGGTGGTTTTGGTTTTTCTTTTTTTTTGGTTGCTGTTGAAATTCTGGACAAGTATCAGAGTTGACATGCCTTCTACTTTAATATCCCTGGAAAAAGCAAACAAGCCCAGAGGCCTATCTCTTAGGACCCTGGTACTTTAAGTGTAATTTTAATAAACTTTGTAATAGTCTACTTACAGTTTTGTAACAACAGCTTGGAATTTTGAGGGGCTGGTGGTAATGGTTTTATATCTGTGGATGTGTGTGCAGTAACTTCTTACCTCTTACTCATTTTGGTTATAGTTGTTATCTGTGTGGATTTGGTGGCCTTCCTCTGGAAAGCCTAGAGAACAGCTAGGAGTGAGCTTCTCTTCAGCTAAGAGTTTAATCCTTCTCTGAGAATGAACTGGTTTTATTTTATTAGATTTTTTTTTGTTCTAGCAGATTCTTGGTTTTTCCCTTTGTTTATTTGTTAAATTTTTGTGTTTTATTTGTAAAATTTGAGCTGGCTCAGAGGTTTTACTCTGGTGATCCTCATTAGCTGCTTTTTACTTCTATGCTGGATATAATTTTTTAGGGAATTGAGTTGTATATTGTTCTCTATTCTTGTAAATCCTACCTGCAGCAAATCCTAAAATATTAGAAAAAGAAAAAAAAAAAAAAACAACTAAACCCTTTGATTCTCTTAGAATCTGCCTCCGTCTCTCAATCTCTGTTAAAAGCAAAAATGATCTAAGATGTAAATGGGTAGTTGGTTTGTGTTTTCTCACCCTACAAGGACTCCACCATTTTGCGGAGGAATTCTGACGATAAAATGACTTAATCCCCCTTGGCACTGTGGAAGGAACACTTCATGGCGCGTCCCGCCCTGGCCAAGGTCACATACTAGACATTAGATCAGCTGCAAACCCTCCCCGGCCGGGCTCCTGTCAGGTCATTTCAGGAGATGAGCACGTCCCTGTATGTGGGTGAAGGCAGCCTGCTCGCCTGCCTGCTTCCCCTCCCCGCCTCCCTGTCTGCCCTGCAACTCCCTCTGTGCCCGAGCCCATCTGGACCTGGAAAGGGACTTGATTGGCAGCCCTGGCCGTGCTGCCTGGAGAGACTTTGCCTAGGCTCTGACCAAGCAGCTCCTGGGCCACAGGGCTCCCTTTCTACCATGTTGGGCCTGGCGGTGGCTCTGGGTCTCTGCCATGATCCTCGTTTAACAGTGTGCCTGGTAACTCTGCCTTTCACCCAGCCTTCCTTTAGGCACGGGAGTTTGTGTTTTAGTTTTTCTCTCCTCTCTCGGCCAGATTCCTGCTTTCTGTCTTCTTAGCCACTTGCAAGGTGACGGACCACAGCTCAGCGTCTCCAGTGTGGGTATCAGATGCTCACCTCTTGTGTCTGCTAGTGTGGCTGTCCCCATGCTGACGCCTGCTTCAGCCTTGCCTGACCTTCCTCGGGGCCTCTCATGGACCCTCTGCCCTCCGCTGCCTGGCTGTCCTCACCGGCACCAGACACAGGGCTGGCTGGTACAGGTTCTCTCTGCCCTAGGCCCCAGGGCTCACACTGAGGGGCCATTCTTGAGTGACCATGCTGAGCCATGGAGCCACCTCCAGAGATGGAGGCTGGCCCCGAGGTGTGTGTTTGGATCCATCTGAAGTCAGTAAATTCTGATGACAGACATTGTAGACATTGTAATAGGTTTGTTTGAGATATTTTTAGCTTGGGATTCTTCTCATAGGATCCTCCAGTCCTGCATGTCATTGGGCTGGCTCTGCCATCAGCAGCCCAGTGTTGATCTGAGTGTCTGGGGCCTGTGGTCAGTGCAGGCATTTGTCTGTAGCTGAGCCCTGTTTGCCTTTGGCATCCTGGGTACTAAGAGAGAGCAGGGA